GAGAGAGAGAGAGAGAGAGAGTTGAGGAAAAGAAAGATGACAGGTCAGGTGATGAAAACAGAAAAAAAATACAGGAGATTAATAATAGTTAAACTGGCAGCAGCAGTAGTAGTAGTAGTAGTAGTAGTAGTAGTATTAATATTACAAGTGGTGGTAGTAGTTGGAGTAGAAGCCGTAGTAGTAAAAGAAAGGAAGCATTTTTATCTCTTAGTCCACTAGTGATAAAACTTGTGCCCTGACCTCCCTATATCTCTGACTCGTGAAATCGTAATGACACGATTGCAAACAAACCACGGTACGGGCGGGGATTGAACTTGCGGTTAGTCTCGAGTATCCAGACCGACGAGTCAATCACTGGGCCAGCTGGCTACAAGAAGATTCATCCAACTAGGTATAGTTATACACCACAGGCATACTAGCATAGACACCACTGACCACAAATGGAAGTTTTTAGAGATTAATCTCTCGCTAGCGTGGCCGTGACGAACTAGCTCAAGTCCCCTCTAAGCCTTCATGACTCACGAAATTGTAATGACTGAGTGGCTAACGCGTCAGTCACTAACCGCGAGTTCAATTTCCGCCCGTTCCGTGGCTTGTTTACAACTGTCATTACCCAAGTATCTTAATTCATTATCCCGTCTATTTTATGAACCATTTATCTACAGGGACAGGAGTGCTGGGCTCAGTCATCCTTAGCCGTTCAAACTCCCCCACAGTAGTGACAGCGTGGATGGGACAGTGGGAGATGGTGGGGAGAGCATTATTGGGGGATATTAAAGAACCGCTTTACCCACGAAATCGTAATAACACTATTATACGAATTGGATGAATCTTACTGTTGCCAGGTGGCCCAGTGGCTTACGCGCTGGCCTCTGGAGTTTAAAGACTCGCTTGCCGCGAGTTCAACCCCCACCCGTACTGTGATTTCAACTACTCAAGATCAGCATAAATTCGTATGTATGATAAAGCTAAACAAAAAAAAAAAAAGGTCGATATCATAGACATTTTTATTTATGCTATTCCAATAAAGTTGAAACTCAGGAAGAATTAAAAATCACATTTCAACCAAAATGAAATTATGGTAGTGATAGAAGCTCTTGAGTGAAGGTTGATCACTATGGTTGATCAGAGTCACAAGTTTCATGGTTTATAAACCTTAGCTCAGGTTGGTGACTCTGTATAATCAAAACTATTGAGTAACTTACAATATAGTATAAACCATTGAATATTAAACTGTTATACTATGTAGTGGAAACGAGTCACTTTAGGGGGGGGGGATTATCCTAGGTAATGTACACGTTACTATGTACGATTGTAGTTATGTAGACCTGTATCTAAATTAACTTTCTTACATTGCTAAGTAAACATCTCTCATAGTCTGAAAAATGGTATGGCGATACCAACAAGATGTGGAAGAAAACCACTTGTGTACAGTTCAGTACATAATAGGAAACGTACCGCCGCAAGTGTCTTCAGTACCAATGGCGATGCCAGTCGTGGCGAAAAGTTTCAAGTAAGAAATATTCTGAACTCTACAAAAGTGCATTTTTCCCCACATATTACGGTTTGCAGGCAAAATTTACACAAAAATGTTGAAAAATAAGGGAACATTCACTGGCAACTAAACAAGACTTATTGGCTCGTGGTTTTTTGCCCAACTTATTCAAGACACCAAAAATAAATAAATAAAATATATATGTGTGTGTGTGTGTGTGTGTGTGTGTGTGTGTGTGTGTGTGTGTGTGTGTGTGTGTGTGTGTGTGTGTGTGTGTGTGTGTGTGTGTGTGTGTGTGTGTGCGTGCGTGCGCGCGCAAGCGCAATAAGATCACAGTAAACAGGCGATTTCAGAATATGCAAAACAACCACTGTGAAAGAATAGAGAAATTCCAAGCGTTTTCGTGACTACTCACGTTATCAAGGAACAATAAAAGTAATGCATCAGAGGAAGGCATATAAAGGGTCTAGACCACACCTCACTATCACATCCCACAACAAAGCAACACCTGACGCGCGACTCATAAGGGAGCACTGCAGCAGGCCCGCTGGCCCAACTAGATAGGTCCTTCACACAACCCACAAACTATTCTACCCAAGAATTAAGAATTTTAAAATTTATTATTTGTCCAATGTATTATTAAATTCTTCCCAAATTCTATTAATTGTAAATGGATCTAATTTATATAAACCAAAGGAAATATTCATATTATTGTCAAAACTGCTTTTTATGAAATAAGATTCAATTATATTCCTGTCGACCACGGACTTGCTTGATACAACTTTCAACTTTTTGAAAATCAATTGGATGGTTAAAATCTCTCGCATGAATAGAGCATTGGAATCTTGTCCAGTTCTAATGCTATATATGTTTTAATCTTAGTTCGAGACTTACCAGTTTGACCGTAGAGACATATCCATCAGCATTTTGGGAAGAATTCTTATCAAAAATTTTTTTTTCTATCAAGATTTTTAAATACAACTGATATTAAAAGTCTTAAGAAGAGAAGGCATATCAACCAAGTTTTCATGGTAAGGGAGAACCAACATTTTTAATTGAATAACGCTGGTTGTCCCTTTTTGGGTTGTAAAAAGTATTTCTAGCAATTTTAAAAGATTTATTAATTACATTTCTTGGGTATTTCAAATCATTAGCCATTTCATAAATTTTGGATATTTCCTCATCTATGAACTCTGGACTACAAATACGTAAAGTTCTCAAAAATATTGATGAGAAAACAGACAGTTTAACTATCTTGATGTGACGAATAATAGTGTACATAGGAACAGTTATTTGTAGGTTTTCTGTAAATTTTAATTCATTACTACCCTTAATAATTAAAACGTCTGGAAAAGGCAATGAGTTTTCTTCAAACTTACTTTTTATTATATATATATATATATATATATATAATATATATATATATATATATATATATATATATATATATTATATTTTATATTATATATATATATATATATATATATATATATATATATATAATAAAGTGAAATCTAGTAAACCGGTTTCCTTTGATCCCTTCATGTTACCTTGCCCACACAACAGTCTTATAAGCTCATTCCCTCCTCCCCTCAACCCTTCCAATTTATGACACCTGACGGGCCAACAGGCCTGCTGCAGTGTTCCTCCTTTCCTATTAACAAGACATGTGCAACAGTTAGGCATCTATTCCGAAGTTTCGCCTACACACCAGGCTTCAGTAGAGTACAAAAGAGTTAGCAAAAACAGATGTGAAGACAATATAAACAGACCACCTCAGAACTATTCTTCAAGGGTGATGTACTAATTACACTGTTCACATCTCTTGTTTTTGCTGACTTCTGTACTCGACTAAAGCCTAGTGTAGGCGAAACGTTTCGGAATATCTAATTGTTGCACGTGTCTTGCCTATCAACCTGTCGGCACTGTATACTATTTATATTCATCTGGTGGATGTTAAAGATCCTAGCACTAAAAACTTCTACTCTTACATGAAGTCTAAACATCTTCCTTTCCTTCTACCTGAAGATTTATTTACCCTTTAGTCATGCTATCCTGGTTCATTCTCTATACCCAAACTACCTCAACCTCTTCTCTGCCCTATAAATTTTACTTTGAAACCCCACACCGTCTTCTATTATTCACTCTCCGAAGTCTCTGCATAATACAAACAAGTTGTCCTCAAACATCTCTACTGCCTCGCCGCTGCAACTTAACACATTCGCATCCATATAGTGTTGGTAAGAGTATGCTCTTTTTACAATCCCCTTTTCCCTCCATGTATAAACTTATTGGCCTCTATAGACGACTTAACGCACCACCTACCTTATCCGTAGCATAGAAAAGAATACTCCCAGGCAAGACCTGTGTAGGTGATAAAGGAGATTTTGGATAGTGGAAGGTAAGTGGGGGACAGGAGGGAATAGGAGAAAGGAGAGAAATAGCCGGGGCTAAACCCAGCTGCACGGCGTTGTTTGGCAAGGTAGAGGGAATAGTTGTCTGACCGTGCTGACTGCACGACTGTATAAGCTGAATGGCAGAACCAGTCAGGGTTTAGGGTGGCAAAGAACTCTTACAGGTGTCGACCGAGGGGGTCATACGCAAGCTTGCTGTTGTCTTTCTCACTGCAATGAAATGGGTTGGAGAGGGGAAACAAGGGAAGCTGGCTTGGTAAAAAGAATGTCTAAGGTCCACCCCTGCAGAGGGCAAGGCAGAAGTTGAGACGAGAGGTTAGGAATAGAGGTTTAAGAATAGAGGGAGGAGCAGGATTGTATAGGGGTTGGAAGAGGTTTAGAGTGTCATCTGGCCGTCTAACTGTTCCGTCGAGGTAGGTTGTCCATTTGTCTTGGTGGGTTTCTAGTTGGTCAGTCTGCCTGTCACAGTTCTTACCAGAACACGTTCGGTGCCGGGGTGCCAGTCAGGGACGTGGAGAGACTTGTGGCAAAGTCGTCCCACTCCACGCCCAGCACCCACCGCAATGCACGGTTCTGAATACGCTGCAGTTTCAGGACATTGGTTTTTGCAGCAAGAGAAAGAGCAAGAGTTGTATATGTGACAAGTGGCCGTATGAGAGCCTTGTACAGGTGTAGTTTAGCGTGAGGATGAGAGTTTATGAGCTTGTACAGTCACATGTGCAACATCTGAATATCTTTATTGTAGACGTTTCGCCATCCAGTGGCTTCATCAATACAGATTATAGGAGATAATTAGAAGACAGTAGAACTATATACAAAAGATGAGGTAATCAGTCCCTCAGCCTTGGAGTTAGTGTTCACAGCATTGTGATGGAGGAGAATCTGGAGTAAAGGCAAGAAGACTGGCGGTTATATAGGCGTCAGTGGATAAGGACGTGTAGCAGACGAGGGCATAGTCACTGGTAGGCGGGATTCCCCAGCGGAAGTAGGTCCTACCCAAAGTGATGGGTTAGTTGTAGCAGCCACTGGATGGCGAAACTTCTACAATAAAGATACCCAGATGTTGCACGTGTCAATTTTTATCTTGTCGATATTGTATACCATTCTTGTACATGCAATTCTTTAAACACTACCTTTCATACCTGGAGGATTTTTCAGGGGACCAACGCCCCCGCGGCCCAGTCCATGACCAGGCCTCCATAGTTCCTTAACTTCAATTCTCTCGTGTATCTGATTTAACCAACATTTACTTTTCCTCACTGAAATTCCCTCTTATCTTACCTTTTCGCTTAGAGCTGGGACAAGCTTTTTCATAACATGAATATTCATTTTTCTTTTCTTCTGTACTACATCCACGCGCATTCAAACATCCCACGTTATTTTTTTTATTAATAAGACTGTTTAGCCTCTTGCTCCAGGCATTCTAGTCGCCTGACTCAAGAAATCGTAATGTCACGATTGCAAACAAACCATACCCCCGGCCGGGATTGAACCCGCGGTCATAGAGTCTCAAAACTCCAGCCCGTCGCGACGGGCTGGAGTTTTGAGACTATGACCGCGGGTTCAATCCCGGCCGGGGGTGTGGTTTCTAGTCGCCTTTTTACGACACGAATTTCAAATTAGGACGCTTCGCCTTGCCGGTGGTTCATTTGTTTACAGAGCAAGCATTATCTCGACTTACTCTTAGAACTGAAATTAACCCCTTCCCACCCACAAAACGACATACATACACAACCATTCAGATTATGGGAGAGTAAATATATGTAGATATACGAGAGTGGCTATTTCGACAGGAGAGGAAAGGTAAGTAGGATGTGGAATTGTTGGAAATTTTTCGTTTCAGTGGGAAGGAACAGGTAATAATGAACCAAGGTATAGTGGTAGTTATGCTTATACGGATGCGGGGCGGCAGAGATGGCATTGGAGATTAATGTACGTGAATAAGGTGCACAAATTAGATTATAATCAAAGAAGCGCTAAACCCACTAGGATCAAGCACAAATTAGAACTGTGTGAAATGTAGAATTTTGAGAGTCCATAATGTTGAGATAGTTTGGTGGTTTAGAAAGGAACATTCTGACCAAAAAAGAAAGTGGATAACTCCTGGGTAGACGGTAAGAAGTATTCAAGAAGGGACGAGAATTTGGGAGAAGGCTTAGATTGGTCAGGTCATGAGCATCCAGCAGGCATGCGTTTTAGTTTTCTATTGGATTTACACCTGATATTAAAGTAGAAAATATATGAAGGGATTCAGAGGGAAAACCACTCTCCTTGTATTTTAAGAAAAGGCAGTGACTGCACTGGGGGGGGGGGGAATAGTCTCAATGTGAATTGTGATGTTTACAGTTTTCAGGGACGGTAGAGGTACCAAAAAAACCAACCCTATGTTTACTGAACACTAAGTATGTAGTACTAACGAACCCACATGAAAATACAACCAAGACAAGAATACGGTACATTTGTCCAGGGCCTCTATTTTAGGTTAATTGAACAGTACTTTTGATTGTATAGTCTTTTAGTGGATGGAATTCACGGCGAGAAGCTAATAAAAATAATTGTTTTGCTAAATACGGATATTATGTTGAGGCGTCAGTGACTACACAGTGTCTACCACATCTTGGTTCCAGGCAACAGTGGCCATGATGACCGTTCTTCCTACACTCGTCATCGTTGTTACACTGGTGGTTGAATACGAAGCAGCTGAGGAACGGGTCAGGAGGAGGGCAGGAAGACCTGTGCAAGAAAATTTTGTATATAAGTGACCAAGGTTTTAATTTATGCAAAAAATTCAGACTACGTTAAGTAATTTATATCGTAGTTGATATTTCACTTATGACCCACAAAATCTTAACACGATTATAAAGAAATGGGGGGGGGGGGCGAGTGGAGTTTGAACCCATATGCTTACCGAGTTCTAAAACTCTCCTATTCCTATTTTTTTTCATTTTTCATAAACTTAGAAAAAAAAATGTTTAAATTCCGAAGTAGAAGCGTTGACAATCCATAACTGAAACTAAACTAAAACTTCCTACAAAAGCAGTAAGCAGTGACAGGTCTCGCACCACCTTGAAAACAGCAGTGGATGGGTGGGGAGGGGGACAGCTAACGTCACTGGTATTAATTAGTCTTGCAAAATACCGCAAAAATAAATGAGAAAATGAATAAATGGTGTAGAAAACCAATATGGTGAGACTTTTGCAACAATTGGGTGTATTCTGCAAACGTTTCGGCAGCCAGTGGCTTCGTCAGTCCAAGATTGATGGACTGAACACAGACTCCAGGCTGAGGTACCGATTACCTTTAACTCATTATCCATCTTTCTCTGCACTGGACTGAAGAAGTCACTGGCTGGCGAAACGTTTCCAGAATAGATACCCAAATGTTGCAAAAGTGTCATTTATCAATTGTGAGAAAACCTCTCAAATATATTCATTCCTAAGTAACAGCAATGTTACAAGATAATAATCTAATATTTCTGTCTCAACCTATTTTTAACTCTCAAGTTTGTGCACATCTTAAACAATGAAAAGCGATGGTCAAGATTTTACCAATTCTGATCCTAGTCGAAAATTCCGGTTCTACTGCATTAAATATGAAACATTAAAATGACATTTTTCTCTTAATGGGTTAAGTCTAAAGAGCAGTTTATTATAATTCAATTTCTCACAAGAACACTTCCAGTACAGAGGTACTTTTAAAAAGCAATGTAAAGACGATGTAGTCCATCAACCTGAAGGATGATTTTATTAGTCTTTACATCGCTTCTGCTACTTCCGACAGACTGGAGAAGCCTGCCGTGTAGGCTTCAGTCGAATACAGGAAAAAATTCGGAATACCTAACTTGTTTCATATGCATCTCTCGTATACTATTATAAAAAATGTATTAATATTTACATCATAGCTTAGGAACTTACGATTGTGAGTGTTGGTATCTTCCCATACAGGCCTTAATAGCAAACACCTGACAGCAGTACTTGTTAGGGCCACACTGCTCATCTCTCTCACATCGTTTATGGGTCAAGAAGCCACCCGAGTTTCTGGGTGGACACACGGACAGAGACGGGTTGCTGTCGAGTTTATGCCAAAGTCAACATTAGTAGTCTACAAAGCAGACTTAAAATACATACATACACACATACATACACACATACATACACATATATACACACATATACACGCACAAAAGAGCGAAGATTTTCCGCTAATCTCTTGAACCATCTCAGTAATATTTGTGATTTATCACTTAAGATTATGTTTAATAATGACCAACAGGAGAAAACTAAACAATACAAATAATGATACAACAGCAGCAAGTACTCACGGAGGTACAGGTATGAAGGGCGGAGATGTTGCTCCGGTCAGAATCATAATCTGTTAAAACAAAAAACTCTTGAGAATTTTGAGGTGCAATAATGCAAATATGGGGTGAAGTATTAAGATACCGACACTGGAGAAAGACAAGTGCAGTATATACTAGGATAGCGTTATACTGCATTTGGGTATCCAAGTATTGTACATTTTTCATAAGCACTAATGATAAAGTTTAGAAATACTGGTTTCTATTTTTATAGAAAAATAGAAAGTGTAGATAACCCTACAATGGAAGTTGGCATGGAAACACCGAGAAACTGACCACAAGCAGTAATTTTATACCAAAACGTTTAGCTTGCTCAGTCAGCGTTTCATGTCTGGTAGGATGTGCTGCAGCGTCAAACTATGAACACAGCATACAGAGGATAAGTCACGAAATTTTAACACGATTACAAGCAGATCACGGAATGGGAGGGACTAACCCATGGCAAGCGAGTCCTAAAACTCAAAAGGACAGTGTGTTAACGCACTGACCTGAGTTTCAGAACTTGCTTGCCATGGGTTCAATCTCCACCCATCCCCTGGTTTGATACAAAGGTTCTCTCTTCCATTCAAAGCTAAATCTTCGCAACCGACAACTTCCTGGAAGATTGCCTTGCTGAGATGGTGACCAGATCCACTCCTCAATTCGCATCCAGACACCTTTCCTTGCCTGCTGTTTACGCGCACCTTAAAGAAAGCTATGAACTGGGATACTGGAAAAGTATCTGGTGTACCACGGTATACAGCAAAAATGTGATAATGCAAGAATTTAGCAAATTAAGCACTGCAGTATCTACTTGTTCACTTAGGTAAAACTTGAGATTTAATTTACCAAGTAGTGCCGTGACGAGTAGGTAGTTGTAGATTCGCCAGTATATACGCCCGGCCCGGGCCTTTTCCAAGAGGTGGCCCGGCCTTGGCTCCCTGTCGTGGGAGTCTCAGACCAATGTCTGCCACGGGAAGAGGTACACACACTTCCTCATCGTCTGGGACCAGCTGTCTCCAGGTCCCCCGCCCACACTGGGCTCGAAGGGTGTGGTAGTTGCATAGCAACAGAATGTGAAAAGGTGCAAAGGCAGTAAGCGCTACAAGATCCTTTTGGAGCCATACCCACCTTTGGTCCGAAGCTCGAGAGCTGGGGAAGCTCAAGAATGCTTCTTGCTGTGTGGTGGTGGTGGGTGGGTGGGTGGGTGGGTGGGTGGTGGTGGGTGGGTGATGTTGGTGGTGGTGGTGGGTGGTGATGTTGGTGGGTGGTGGTGGTGGTGGGTGGTGTTGGTGGTGGTGTGGTGGGTGGGTGGGTGGTTGGTGGTGGTGTGGTGGTGGGTGGGTGGGTGGGTGGTGTTGGTGGTGGTGGTGGTGGGTGGGTGGGGGTGGGTTGGTGGTGTGTGGTGGGTGGTGGTGGGTGGTGTTGGTGGTGGTGGTGGTGGGTGGTGGGTGTGTTGGTGGTGGTGTGGTGGTGGGTGGGGGTGTGTGGTGGTGGTGGTGGTGGTGGGTGGGTGGGTGTGTGGTGGTGGTGGTGTGGTGGGTGGTGGTGGTGTGGTGGTGGTGGTGGTGGTGGGTGGGTGGGTGGGTGGGTGGGTGGTGGGGTGGTGGTGGTGGTGGTGGTGGGTGGGTGTGGTGGGTGGTGTTGGTGGTGGTGGTGGTGGGTGGGTGGTGTGGGGGTGGGGTGGGGTGGGGTGGTGTTGGTGGTGGTGGTGGGTGGGTGGGTGGTGTTGGTGGTGGTGGTGGGTGGTGGTGGTGGTGGGTGGGTGTTGGTGGTGGGTGGTGTTGGTGGTGGGTGGGTGTGGTGGTGGTGTGGGGTGGTGTGGTGGGTGGGTGGTGGTGGTGGGTGGGTGGTGGGTGGGTGGGTGGTGGTGGTGGGGTGGTGTTGGTGGTGGGTGGGTGGTGTGGGTGGGGGTGGGTGGGTGGTGGGGGTGGTGGGTGGTGGTGGTGGTGGTGGTGGTTGGTGGGTGGTGGTTGGTGGTGGTGGTTACGGGGAGTTCGGGGGTCGGGGGGTCTGTGGGTTGGTGTGTGGTGGTGTGGTGGTGGGTGGTGTGGGTGGTGGTGGTGGGTGGTGTTGGTGGTGGTGGTGGTGGGTGGTGGTGGGTGGGTGGTGTTGGTGGGTGGGTGGGTGGTGTTGGGTGGGGTGGGTGGTGGTGGTGGTGGTGGGTGGGTGGGTGGGTGGTGGTGGTGGTGGTGGGTGGGTGGTGTGGTGGTGGTGGGTGGTGGTGGTGGGTGGTGGGTGGTGTGTGGTGGTGGTGGGTGGGTGGGGGTGTTGGTGGTGGTGGGTGGGTGGTGGTTGGTGGTGGTGGTGGTGGTGGGTGGTGGGTGGGTGGTGGTTGGTGTGTGGTGGTGGGTGGGTGGTGTGGTGGTGGTGGTGGTGGGTGGTGGGGTGGGTGGGTGGTGGTGTGGTGGTGGGTGGGTGGGGTGGTGGTGGGTGGTGGTGGTGGGTGGGTGGTGGTGGTGGTGGGTGGGTGGTGGGTGGTGGTGTTGGTGGTGTGTGTTGGTGGGTGGTGGTGGTGTTGGGGGTGGTGTTGGTGTTGGGTGGTGTTGGTGGGTGGTGTTGGTGTTGGTGGGTGGTGGTGTTGGTGTTGGTGGGTGGTGGTGTTGGTGTTGGTGGGTGGTGTTGGTGTTGGTGGGTGGTGGTGTTGGTGTTGGTGGGTGGTGGTGGTGGTGCTGCTGCTACTACTTACCTCATTTGTAGTGTGAATTTGCTTGCCTAGTGGCGTGGTTCACGACTGTCTCTTGACTAGCTGTACCATCGAGGGTTTAGCAAGCTGAAAGCTTTCTGGGTTCTGACTAGTCAGTCAGTCACTACAATTATCGCACTCGGAAGCACAGCAAGCTTTCAATTAGCTAAACACTTGAGACAATCACCAAGGAAAAACCGTGGTCAATCACTACTCAGCACACTGATTCACCACGGTACTGAAATATTACACTAAAAATTTCACCAGTAGGCAGACTGCAATGCCTGCCTATTTGACTTAACACTGTCATACCTGGCTTTCCTACATATAGTGCTATCACATTTTATCAGACAACACTGGCTATGTCGGCTAAAGGTTGATGAATGAGACTTGTGTAACATTTTGGTGTCTTTACTGTGGGAAAGTTACGCCAGCCAGTGGCTTCCTCAGTCCAATATAGATAAGAATGGTAATCAGTCCCTCAGCCTGAAGCCGATGTAATTCCATTCTCCTGATCTTTCGCCAATCTTTGACTGAAAAACCACTGGGTGGCGAAGCGTTACCACAATCAAGATATACAAAGCAAAACGTTAATTATCGATTGCAGGTCTTTACACCACCATTTCAATATTTGAAGTGAACAAAAATATACGTGCAAGAACTTATTACTACTCGGTTGGGGGGGGGGGGGCAAAGAAACAAGAATTTTACAGTATAAACCACGGAACGGGCGAGGGTTTGAACACATGGGAAACTAGTCCTAAAAAAAAAAAAAGGGGGGGGGGGGGACTAACTCGCGGTTAGTCGTGAAACCCCAGACCGACGCGTTAGCCCCGCCCGTGGTGTGGTATGGTTTGTTTGCAATCGTATAACGGTTTCGCGAGTCACGATGACGGCTTTGAGGGGACCCGAGCTAGAGTTCGTCATGGTCACGCTGGCGGGAGATTCATCTATAAAACTTCCATTTGTAGTCACAGTGGTGCCTATGCTAATCTTCCTATGGTGTATAAATATACCTAGTTGGATATCTTATTGTAGCCAGTTGGCCCAGTGGCTAACGCGTAGGTCTGGACTCTGGAGGTTTAAGACTCTCGCCGCGAGTTCAATCCCCACTCGTGGTATAGTCCTAAGAACATAAGGCGGAACACTGCAACAGGTCTGTTGGCCCATACTAGGCAGGTCCTTCACAATCCACTAAAACTTACTGGATTGTTTGCAGTAGTGTTGTGGAGTCTAATCACGCTCTGCTGGTGCAGCCTAGTGTAAGTGATAATATTCCATGACAAGCTAAGAGAAACTCTTCTTTATGACCTTTTAATTAATTATACTCATGGGTTAGACCTACCTCAATGGTCACACATCCCTGGGGGGGAAGTGGATTATAATAAAAAGAACTAAACCCACCAAAATCATACAGCGCTGTGGGGGAAGTGGAGACAGACTTATGGGGAAGAACGTGCGCTGTGTCAGCTATGTGCGCCACTTACCTGACTGTTGCCCAAGTTAGTATCAGGAGTCCTTAACAATCCTTTAAGGGTTAAACAATTAAAATGAAATGTTTGAAACATCATCCAAAATTTGTAAATATGGAGGTTAATCATGCAAAACTTGCAAACTGGACTGTTGCCAACTATTGTTTTGACCAAGCATAGTTTCTGCTATAACTGCGAAATTCAATCAACCAAATAAAGCATTTTTTTTTATATTAAATACTAAATGTTTTGTTAACAGTTTTAAAGGCTGTCAACTAGACAGGTATCATTAAGGTTGCATGTAACCTGATCAATTAAAGAACGTCTAAAAGAGCAATTTAAATGTGTAAATTTACAAGGTACGTACATGTTTATGTATGTATGTATGTATGTATGTATGTATGTATACGAGTGTCGCGCGGTGTACACAGTGTCCGGGGCTCGATCCCCGGCAAGGGGATCCTTACACCGGCTGTCCCCGTTCACCTAGCAAGTAGGTACCTGGGTGTTAGTCTATTGGTGTGGGTAACATCTTTGGGGACAAGACTGAAGGACCCTGGAAATAAATGGTATAAAATACCGACAATGGAAATATAAACACACATGCAGTATAATGTGATCCTTTATGTGTAGAATTTTTAACACATACTTCCTCTCAGTTTTTACACAGGAGGATACCAGCGATATTCCAGTAATGATAAATTATGTAGAACAGGACGATATAAACTGTGTACTATTAGGGTCACAAGTGACATGGTCCTTAGGCAAATAGATAAATTAAAACCTAACAAATCCCCAGGCCCTGATGAACTGTATGCAAGGGTTCTAAAGGAATGTAAAGAGGAGCTTAGCACACCTTTGGCTAATCTTTTCAACA